ATAGTAGCTAAAATAGTATAAACTAAATTTCTTTGCTGGTGATCATAAACTATTATACTTTTTTGATTTTTCATCAAATATTTGTTACTATTTATTGTTTATAAAAAGATAATTTTATTTAACTAATTATATCAATTTGTTATATAAACATATTTTTTAATATTATATGTTCTCATTTATATTTCATATAATATTTGAATAAAATTTGATTTTTTATAAATTTTTTTTTAAAAAAAATTCAAGATCAATGCTGGTTAGTTTCAAAAACTATAAGTTGGCATACTTTTTACATAAATTCTGTGTAGCCTAACAAAACTGTATGAAATTTTAGCAAGTAATACCTTAAGATTTATTAAACATGTGACAAAATTTTTTTATTATATTTATTTGCCTGATTTCAAATAACAAAAATTTAAAAAGTGTTTATAATATTTTGATAGGGCATTGCATATAATTCTTATTATGTAACTTGTGTATTAATATTTTCTTAATAAATTCATCAATTATGTTGAAATTATAATAATAATAATAATTTAATCAACAAAAAATTTTTGCGAAATTTTTTTTTAATAATATAGTCACAATCTATAAAAATTTAATAAACAAAAAAAGAAAAAAAAATTATTTTACAAAATTGAATTAACAGTATATCTAATTTTTTAATTATATTTTTATCAATAAACTTATTTAAATATTTTAGTTTAAGAATCAAATCTTAAATAAGAATTATAATTGATTGGTTAGGAATGGACACCATTAAAGCATCCGAAGCATTTAAATTTTAAAATTTTATATTAAAAGTAGCAATAGCTAATAAAAAGTAATCAATATAACAAAAAAAAACAAAACGCGTAAAATAAGCAATTCAATTAAACAATTAGTCATGTTCCTTTAAATTTCTATTTACTTCTGCTGGTAAACTTTCAATAACATAATTATCATCATTCCAGATATTTTCAAATCTTAAATGATACGCGTGTGGAATTTTTGTTGTATCATTAGGACATTCTGTATGTGATGAAAACGCGAATGACAGTAGTATGTATATTATAAAGATTATTGCAATGCGTAAAAAAGACTTAAAAGACTTTGTATTGTTGAAGTTAAGAAAACCATTAGAATTGCTGATCAATGGAGTTCTTTCAATGCCTGCCATGATTACATTCTCCCATGATAACTAGCGTTAGTTGTCTTTATGAATGTAAGAACACACAGTGTGGTCTTGTCTTATCATGGGATCTAATCACATGTTCCTTCCACTTCTATTTCTAGTAAATCATTTGGAAAAAATAGATTGTCGGTAGTGAGGAATGTTACTGTACTTTCGAAATTGAACAGATGACAAAAAAAAATCTTTAGTCGAAAAATCTGCCTATATTTATAAATTCATTTAAAAATTGGTAAAGGATAATATCTAATTTGGGCGTTTACATGGTGGCTATCGTCGCGAATATTGCGTGTCGTAAAAGAGAAACAGATATTCTATAGAGAATCGTTTAGAATTAAATCGAATATTTTTTAATTCAATTTTAAACACATGGATTTCTGTTCGTCTGTCACGTGTCATCTTTGCACCGAACTTGTAATAAATAACGATGTTTAGACAAGTATTTTATTATTAATATTTTTATTGTAAATATATATTTTGAGATTGAATTCACTATCATTTGTCCTTATTATTTTTGCAATATATTTAAATAAGAAATGTATTTTGATGTATGATTATATATTTGACGATTTGTTTAATAATTTTTTTAAAAAAATATAATTATTGAATTTTCTGCATGTTTAAAGACCATTTTGATTAATTAACTTACCCAATGACATGCAAGCATCTTATATTCATTAACATCTAAGCTTACCAATTCGATTCAATTTTTCTGGTGAATCTTTCAACGTTCCTAATACTGTACTGTGATATCGCAAATTTTACTTGAAGTGCACACAGATAGTTAAAAATAGCAAATATCCGCCAATATATCACAATATATTGTATCACAATGAAATTTATATGCTCGTGAGCGTACATGGGCAACCTTACATAAAAACTCCTTATTTCAAAAATCTCACAATACCTTCAATGTTAACGTTCAGGAGCTTTATAAAAATCACATTGATGTGCCTATCCTTCATGGTTTTCCTTGTGAATTCCATTCCACAGGACATTCCCGGCGCAGCATTTGTATATCCAAAATCCGGTTCCCGATTTCGACCAGGCCAAGAAGTTCGAGTTACCATAAGTGCCGACCCCACGATCAGAAAAATTGATATTGTAACATTTCACTCTTTATACGCAATCACTAAAACCAATAGTTCCAAAGTAATCGCCAAAAATCTCAAAGGTCACGAAGGACATTTCTACTTCAAATTTAAAATTCCTTTGTTCTTTCGACCGGATTCTCAGGTGTACCTTCTGGCCCAGTACAACACCTTCGGTAATAGCATTAAATCTGGATCACTCATCATATGGAGTGCCAAAGAATATGTTGTGATTAGACAACCGCGTGTTGGAGATGTTTACAGATTGGATCAAACAATCACGGTAGCTTGGGATTATAGATTTGATGACGAGGAAAGCAACAAGGTTGAAAAGGCAATGTTGTATTTACAAGATAATTATAACAAGATAGTGCTTATGCAATTTGAAAATTTTGATCTTTTTGGTAGTCAACTGGAAATCGATTTGAGTATTGTACCAATGATGCCAAGTAGAGAAATTTCTTTAACCTTTGTCGTGTATATTAGGAAGCAAGAGGGACTCATTTTGCGTAGATATTATTCTGATTACTTCGCCATCAATTAATTTGCACGTATCAAAGATACTTAGGATGATGGGGAGATACATAAAAAAAGAATTAAAATGAAAAGATTGCATAAAGTGACATCTACCAGATCAACATATAGTCTGCCAGTAATCATATTGCAGAACTTTAACTCATTTTTGCGACATATATTTTTTCAAACCTCATGAGTGAAAAGGAGATTGTATGAATATCATAAGGAGATAGTCACATCTACGAAAGCTATTTTTCTCTGACAATTGGATTTACGTGTAAGGATGAATTACCACAATCATTCTACCCACGTAAATCCAACTTCTAACACACTGATAGAATTTTTTTGATACTACTGATAATTTGCGATAGACGTGATGATGTGTACAGAAACACAACTTTTCCAAAGGAAGCATGCAAAAATCCACATACACATGACGTAATATTTTATATTATCACGCAAATAAATTAATTGTATTAAATAAAAATGTTAATAAAATGCTACAGAAAATAAGAAGAAATAGATTATAAGTAGTGTATTGCTGAAAATAATTATGTTAAAAGGTGAAATTCAATATAGATATTATTAATGGTGACAACAATCTTAGGAATGTGCAGAAATTTGGAATAAATGCACAGCAGAATCCCAGAAATTCGTACATATTTCCATCACTGTACGATGATTATTCAAAATATTCGAACCAATTAGTATATCGTTACCCCAATTGTCTTAATCATCTCTCACTTCGTTCTCTTCATTTTCCCTCTCTTCAGTTTCAATATAATTTCTCATAAACAAAGCACTAATGAACAATAGCACGCCAGAAATCAATCCAGCCAAGAATATCTTATGTAGGGAGTCGATAATTGTACCCAGCAATTGACTCCTGAGAGGTTCTCCGAAAGAGAACACCGAGGATAGATTTCCATGGACCGTGTTGAACGATATTTCGAATCCGTATTGATTTTTAAACGTATCTACTACCTTCTTGATAAGTTCGTTGTTTACGATTGCCGAAAATATAGACATTCCAATCACAGACCCAACTAAATAAATTGAGAAATCGCATTATGGATTAGGCGTCAGCAAAATTGAAAGATAGATTCTTGATATGAAATTTAACCCACAGGATCTAAAGAATGTTATCTATGATGGAATTTTCAATAGTAGATGAGTATATAAAATTAGTTTATGCAATCTAGCTTCGCTATAAAAAATAAAATAAAATAAAAAAAGTCTTATTGCATACAAGAGAAGTCACAATAGCGATATCATCATCATCTACTACCGCCTGTCCTGTCAACAAACTGATTTGAAATATCGATCCTGCACCAAAACCAGTGATCAAGAGATATCCAACTTGCTGACCGACTGTCGAGTTTTGATCAAGCGTATAAATCAGCCCACTACCAATTGCTACCATCGCCCCACCAAATAAACATACTAATTTATATGAATATCCAGGTGCACGTGATACAACCTGACCGCTTATCAGTGCCGAGATTACTACTCCGACAATATATGACAATAGCTTAATTCCAGATGCCAAGGCTTACAAATAATGTTTTGGGTGATTAACATATGAACATCAAGAGAATTGTCGGTTAAACATTTTGACAAGAAAATAAAGTTACCAGAATCTTGATAGATGGCTTGGAAAAATAAAGGGACGAAAAAGATACATTCGTATAGGCCTATGCTGTAGAAGAAATTCTGGATGGAACACGAAACAACCGTACGATCCCTAAATAACCTTACTAAAATAACAAAGTGATAATGTTGATAAATATAGTAAACTCAGCAAACTCATGGTGCCGCACGTACTAATTCGTACCAGGGATAATTGGCTCCACAGCAATGAATCCTTCAATATATGCAAACAATATAAATCCAAGTCCACCTAAAACAAATAGAATTATGACAAGCGCTGAATTCCAGGCGTAGTCACTTCCACCCCATTGCAATGCCAATAGGGTCGCAAGAGTGGAACTTGTTATCACAAACATTCCCAACCAATCTATACGCGTAAGTTTCTCTTTCAAGGTTCCTGGGGGAGTGGGAACGTTCAGTAGAAACACTATAAACGCAATTGGTATGACTCCAAACGGCAAATTGATATAAAACACCCATCTAGGCAATAATATAGAAAATTTCGTAAATAATCTCGAAATAAAAAATATTCTTCTCTATCAAGAAAATACCTCCAAGAGACATGATCTGTAAATGCACCACCTAAAAGTGGCCCTATGATCGAGCCGATTGAGTATACGCTACCAACTATCCCCACATATTTGCCACGATCCTTAAGACTTATGATATCCGCGATTATTATGCTTGTTAACCTTTAAGAAAATAATATCCACTTTAGTAAGGATACGATAACAAAAGTGTATATGTAAGAACCTAGGGAGACATAATACCCGATAAAACCACCAGCCCCGATACCGGAGACCGCTCTCCATAAGACCAACTTCGTCTAAGAAAGGATAATTAGTTAGTCGTTTATTCTACGCCTTCTCAAGATAGCAAGTAACGGTTACAAAAAAGGAGAAAGTACAATGTTATCTGCCAGACCACAGAATAGAGATCCCAGTTCAAAGATAAATATCGCCGTTAATATCGTGATCTTTCTACCAAAGATGTCTGAAAGCTTTCCGTACACTGGTTGAAAAGCTGTCTGTTTGTTAATTGAGAAAATAGGATTAATTGTAATGAGTGTTGAGGAAATGTATATATTATTATTATGTACTCACGGCAGTGAGCAAGTCGGCAATTGCAACCCATAAAACTTTATCAAAGGCCGAAAGATCACTGGCAATGGCTTGTCTAATAGTCGGTCGATTTGATCATTCATTAATACAAGATGAGTAAACTTTCAATGAGAAAAGGAGGTTATAATTACAAGGCAGTCGAGACAATCGTCAGGTTCAACGCCGATAAAAATACTCCGAATAAAAGCCTAAAATTTTATCAAAGGTCAATATTTAATGAGTTTACCCGATTGTGATGTATGTGTGTTTAAATTAAAAAATATCAAAACAAATACCCAATGAACAATAAATTCAACTTGAGTTGGGACATAGGGACACGAGGTTTATTGTTACTCTCCGCCGGTTCTTCTTTCTCCATAAGTTTATTATCGCCATTTGTATCGGGGCTGAGTGGCATTTTCCGAAATTTTAAAATCGAGGGACTGCAAGGAAAAGTTCGTTTTTATTTAAAAAAAATTAAGTTCATTGACTCATTGTACTATATGGCACGCAAATAGTTTCACAACATACGATGCAATTGTTTTTATCACGACACAAAAAGTCACATACTCGAAATGATTAAAATTTTCTTTACTGGATGGCAATTCAATTCTGGGGAGACGTTTTATTTGTTTTCTACTTTTGCTTTTTATGTCATCGTCGTGTGTAACGAATGTGATCTTAATGGCAATAACTGTAGTACGATAATAAAAAACAGAGAACGGGTTATTTGTTGATCGAGCATGACACTCTCATAATTATCCATAGTAAATTAAATCGGACTACTGTACAATGTCGATTGTTTACAATTATAAGATATGTACTGTTAGCAGTAGGAGGGACGGGATCGGCGCGGGTCATGTGACATGGCGCGATGCATCATCAGGGAGATTTGCATGACGCGACGTTAGATTGGTGGACGCGTCACAGCCAATATACAGTAAATAGAAGATGATTAAAGTAGTGAATGTAAGGTGACGGACTCGCCGGTAGTGCTAACAATACTTATCTGCACACCAAGCAACCAAGAAACTCTCGAAAGTGGTTCAGCAGCGGCTGAAACACATGACCGAGGAAACAAGCATGATGGTAATTATCTAGGGTGATGCGTACATCTTCAAGACCTGCAGCTATTGTGGGAACATACAAAACATCGACGGAATAAGAGTTTATAAATGCGGAAACTGTCATATGGTTATAGAGAGATATATAAACAGAGCCCGCGGGATCTTCCTACGATGGAGCCATCCACATGTGGATGTAGGAATCGATGATCCTTACTTAGCAATGACTAATAATGATTATCAATGGTATGTATGTTACAATCCATCCAGTTTTCAAACAAATGAATCGAATAAAGTGAATCAAATATTCATAATCGACTTATATTTGTTATCTAATAATTGATCAGATCATAAATTAATGATCGTTATTGCTGTCATTTATTTAAGTTATCTCAATTGATTACAAATATTAATTGGGAAAAAAATATATTTTATCCATAATAAATGTGTGAAGCTATCATATGCATTTATTATATCAAGTTACTGTAAATGCTAGCTTGCTTACAAAAATCAGTTAATTAATATTGAAAAGAACTTTTCAAAAAAATATATACTATATAGACAAAAATGTCACATATTAAAAATTTATTATTATACAAAAATATATAGCATATAATAATTTTATTTAAAATCTTAACATTATAAATTATATTTTAAATATATGTACTATATATAATATATAAAGTGTGTAACAAAAATAATTGTACAACATATCAATTTTTATTTTTGTGATTTTTTAATAATTAATTGATAAAATAAAATTAAAATTTATATTGATATGGTTAAGAATATAAAAAATAAGTTTACTTAATAAAGTTTTTAAAATACATTATTAAAATTTTATAAAACTTTAATTTAAAAGATAATTAATTTTAATTACATTATAAAATAGAAGTAATAAAAAATTATTATAATTATAATTTTTAATCTATAAATTTATTAAATAAAAGTGATAATAATAATAATAATATAATCTAGGCTAGGATTAATTTACTGTGTAAAGATTTTTAATATATTGATAACAAACAAAAGTCTAATAAAAACCTTTATTTAAAAACTCTCACCCGTTCACCACTGATTTCTTGAAAATTTCCTTATATGGTAATTTTCTTGAAAGAAGCGCTTTTCTCT